TGAAGATTCCAATGGACGGCGATAGTAACTTAATACAAGATGAACTAATACTGAAGACCCATTTTACTTTATAATAAGGTGGCATCTGCACGCCTACGGGCGTTGCAAATGTCAATGAGCTGCGGTGATCACTTAACATCAGGTGACCCGATTGATCATTTGCCACTTTTTCACATTAAAAAAAAACCCGCATGCCAACTTATCACTTAAAAAAACACAACTTTGAAAACATCGTGGTCCTTCCTTTTGTCACCAATTATAAAAGTCTATTTCCACTTAAAAAAAAAGCTTTTTTAGGGTTCCGTACCCAAAGGGTGAAACGGAAAAACCCTATTACTAAGACTCCTCTGTCTGTCTGACTGTCATCAGGCTGTGGCTCATGAACAGTTAGACAGTTGAAATTTTCACAGGTGATGTATTTCTGTTGCCGCTATAACAACAAGTAAAAAACAAAATAAAACAAGATTTAAGTGGGGCTCCCATACAACAGGCATGATTTATTTGCCGTTTTCATAGATCATGGTACGGAACCCTTCGTGCGCGAATCCGACCTGTATTCGACAAATTACATTTCCTTACGCTGTCCTCTCAAAAATTATAACAATTCCATTTAACTGATCCGTTTACGAACTCACAGTATATTTTAATCACACACGCATCCGTGACTATATATTATGGTATCTATTCCGTTCATATAATGAGTTATGTAATAACAACAAGGGAGCTTTATTGAACTTTAACGCCATGTATAATTACTTGGTTATTTAATCACAAAGTTATCCGTTAGTGAGAATATAAAATTATGCTTTCCTTTCGGTTACACTACTACTGTAGCAATTATTAATTTTAATTTATGTGACACGGTGGCAATCGAGTTGACGGTGGTGGGACCATTCAGCAGATCCTGGTGTGGCATGCAGTGGCAGGCTTTCCGAGGAAGTGCCACGGGTATTACAGTTGCGCGTTTCTTCTGGCGAATGATATGACCTGAGCCCTTATTTGTGTGTTGTAGGTTCCCATTTTTTATGGTAAAAGGTGTTAAGCGTGCTGGCGGTACACCAGATGTTAAGTGATAACCGCCGCCCATTGACATCTGCAACACCCAAGCGGTTGCAGATGCCTTGCCACCTTTTAATATAGTAGGCTACCTCACTCACCAGACGGAACGCAGAAGTGCGAAACTTCTGCACATCTTTTGTGAGGTCATAAAACCCACGTCTTAAGAATTCGCACCCGCTTTAAGCTAACGGCTGATTGGCACCCCGACGAAAACCTCAACGTGTTTCATCTACATTGTTTTCCTGCATTATCAGCATTGCTTTGCTTGGAGTGGCCATTATATGACCTTTAGAGCACACAAACAATTTCTAATATCGTTACACAACGATAATAGAGAGTTGGTTTTACGATGAATTAATAAATTAATAAATTACTAGAATTTCGACCACGGCTTAGCTCGCGTTGAAGCGCTTAAATGAATAGCTTTCTTTAAAAAATAATTCAAATTAAAAATAGCCTCTGTCCTTTCTCAGGGTCTAGACTATCTGTGTTCCAAATTTAATTTAAATCGGTTCAGTAGTTTTGGCGTGAAAGCGAGACAGACAGACAGGGTTACTTTTGCATTTATATTATAATCTATAGTATTATAGTATGGATTAAACACGAGGGATGTCGTATTGTTCTACAGAAGTAATGACATACAGAGACGTAGTTAAAGTTGTAAAAACATTAACTGTAAGTCTTTAGAGCCACACTAAAGCTGTTCACACAAGTCCGACAGTGTGTTGTGACGTCGCGGTAGCCGTGACGTCAGCGGGTGGTTGACGTGAGGTGAAACAGAAAGGCTTGAGCGTTGCTGTGGATTTAGTAATTGCATATTATGCGGAACATGTTGGATTTGTGCGTAAATAATTAAACGATTCTATTACTTAACAGGTTTACAATGAGCAGGTTGATCCAGGGAAGTACCTCGATCAAACAGAAGACCAACATGAAATGTTAGACTTTCCGTCCTGTCCTAGCCTTTCGTGCGGTGAGTGAGGTAGCCGGAGCCCGCTTTATTAAAAGGTAACAATGCATTTGTAACCTACGGTGTTGTAAACGTCAATTGGCGGCGGTTATCACATTAAATCAATCGATTCACCAGCTCGCTTGACAACTTAAAAAAATTACTAAATTAGGTAATATGTTGTAAAATGAATCTAAGAGTATGTGTGGTTTTTAAAGTCTTCTTACAATGTTTAGTATAATGTCTTTCTTGCTGAATTTCAGCCGTAAAGACAGCTGACATAAATACAATTTTCATGCTCTAAAAGGGATCTATTCCATCAGTTAATAACCTGGGCCGCAAAGCATCACTAAGAATTTTATTTAACGAGAGAAAGATATTCACTGTTTCTTCTCAATACGTATGTAGGTATGTAGGTAAACATGTTATATATGTTTCAAGACAGTAATATGCATGATATAAAGACTGTGTACAATTATTAAACGTTTTATAGGACAATGTATACTTTTCTAAAACAAAATCCCAGCTCAGAATGTATCAATTGCCTAAATGCCTATGTAAAGTTGACGATGTACAAAGTGATCTTATTGAAATTATTAGACAATTTAAAAATATCGGTCTCGATTTAAATAATTCCAAATGCGAACTTTTCTTTTCCGAAAAGATTTCTTTTTCCGACAAAATCATTTTGACCCAAAATTGTAGCTCTATCATACCGGGAATTAACGTAGTCCGTTCAGATTCACTTTACCTCTTAGGTGCTCCTTTGTTGATACCAAGTTTGGCACCTCATTTAAAATTAAAGTTAAGTCAATTTTTAGATCATGTCAATAAATTGTTTTTACTAAATTCGCATATTGCGCTTACTATTTTGCGACATTGTATTCTTGTACCTAAATTTACGTACCTCCTTCGCTCGAGTCCAGTTTGGAAATGCGGTGACTTTTTGAACGAAATTGATTTCCATCTTAAATCAGCTCTAGAAAAAATTCTAAATTTATCTCTTAATGAATTAAGCTGGACTCAAGCTACGCTGCCAATTCGTTTTGGTGGTATCGGTGTAAGGAAAATTTCTAGTGTCGCTCTACCTGCCTTCCTTGCTTCCGTGCATAGCGTAAATAATTTATGTAATAACATTCTTAATCACGATTCAGAACTTTCCTATGCAGAGGAGGCAAGGATGTCTTGGCTGTCTATCTGTCCCAACGAAAATATCCCACTGGAAGTAAACCTACAAAAACAGTGGGATGTTCCTTTGGTGCGGAGAGTACAGAGAGATACGTTTCAATCTTTAGAAAGTAATTTAGAGCGTGCCCGTTTCCTAGGAGTCTCATCTAAAGAATCGAGTTATTGGCTTCACGCTTTACCATCAAGTAACTTGGGCACATTACTTGACGATGAAAGCTTACGCATTGCTGTAGGAATCCGTCTGGGGGCACCGATTTGTCAACCACACCAATGCCCTTGTGGTGTCAGTGTAGACAAATTTGGTCTCCACGGGCTTTCTTGTCAAAAAAGTGCTGGCCGTTTTTCTCGCCACGGTTCCCTGAACGACATCATCCGTAGGGCTCTTGTTTCCATCAATGTTCCATCTATTTTAGAGCCCTGTGGCATTTTACGCGACGGTTTAACATTGATCCCTTGGGAGAGAGGCAAAGCCCTTGTTTGGGACGCCACTTGTGTAGACACTTTGGCTGCCTCTCATCTAAGGGGTACTTCGGTCAGGGCCGGGGCGGCATCGGAGGCAGCTGAAGTAAGTAAATGGCGCAAATATGAGTCTTTATGTTCAGATTATGTATTGTGCCATTTGCTGTTGAAACATTAGGTCCGTGGGGTCCCCGCACATCATTTTTTTTTAAAAGTTTATGTCCTAGGCTTAACGCCGCGGCTGGTGACAAGAGAGCTGGTTCTTTTCTCGCGCAAAGGTTAAGCATAACTATTCAGCGAGGAAATGCAGCTAGCGTTCTTGGCACCATGCCGCGTGGATTAGGTTTATTAGATAATATGTAATTTTAGATAGATTTAATCTTGTAAATATTAAAACATACAATTATATAATAAAAAAAAAAATAAAAAAAGAATTGCCTAATTGAAAAGGAACGTTTGTGTGTTAAAGGTTATTAGTATATTAAAAATTATTCATACGATACCACTCTGTGAAAATTCATTGATCGCTCCAGGCTTTTTAAAGTATATATTACTATAGTGTATACATATTTCATAGTCAAATAATGGAATAATAAAAATAATAAACCTTAAATCGAAAAAAAATTGTCGAGGTCTTTCAGTTACTTAATGAAAGTGACGTAACAAAAGTGTTTCTGTTAATAAATTATTGCACAATATCAATCGGGCACCTTGTTGGAAAGTAACCTATAATTGCTTGATTTAGCCGTCGCTCATAAATTGCACCACACGCTAAACATTTAAGGGTGAAACGTATCAATTGGTCACCACTCGTCATGACAGACCGCCGGGGGACACACCTGTCTCCGGGTCCAACAAAGTTAAACCGTCTTTCGTATACTATATCAATTAACCACACAGGCCGATTATATCGATGATTAAACCTTTCTAAATCATCGAATTCGCGAAAGTGCGTGAACAAACTTGGAAAAGAATCCTAAACGGTTTTGCTATCCGAGGGGAACTTGACTTTCTCATTGCCTTCCGCGAATCGTTCGTGTTTACATTGCGATAAATATCTCCACCGCGCTCCATTTGTCGAGTTTGAATGATTGTAGGTATATAAATAAAACGTTAAGACATTTGTGTGTGCAGATGAAATCTAAACAAGGGTCAAACTACGCCATTATCCGGGTATAACCTCGGGCCAATAGCGATGTAGACGAAGGTACGTCTATCTAATTTGTCGGTTTAAGATTGTGTTTGTACTTTGTGTAGTGTCGACAGTAAACAAAGATAAGCTAATGAATCATTTCGGCTTCTTATTTTTGTGATATGGTGGAAGAAACTTTATTATGGCTCAAGGATGGAAACGGTAAGCAAATTAGATATTATCATTAGAATGTTTAATGTTAGAGCCAAGTGTGGTAGACTATTATCAACCCAAGTTCAAATGTTAATATCGGCACCGATAAATAATTATTCTACTCGTAAGAAAATTTAAGGTATATATAATTATATTAAATGAGAATATATATTATGATCTAATAAATTATGCCCTTTTACCATTTGTCCCAGACAGTTAATGCGGTTACTTGAAAAAGGATGCGTTAATCTGTTAAATTACTTTAACATAAATCTTATTTACGGATTTCACGCCGCATATTTTAATTTATTTTTTTTAGATAACCCGATAAAATCCATAAATTAGCTTTATTAAAATGTATTATATTCGCATATATAAAAGAATATACGTGATAGCTCAGTGTCCGAGCGCTCGGCTTTAAATCAAATTACTCGAGCAACCCGAGTCATCGAGTTCGATCCCCGGTGCCAGCACCAATGAAATTGTCAATTATAAGTGCTCACTTATCAAGTGCTCAGCGATGAAGGAAAAAATCGTGAGGAAACCTGCACATTATCGAAATAATAATAAAAAAAATTCGAAAACATGTGAAGTCAGCAGTGCATGTTAGTATGGCAATTAACAATTTCATCGGTGTCAGCGCCAGGATTTTAATACAATTTGCTCGAGTATACCACATTAAAAGCGAGCTACCTAACACAGCTATCGGCTCTTAGCTTACCACGGCTCGTTCTCTAGAAAAATAAAAAAAAATATGCCTACTTCTCTACAAACACAGTTGTGAGTATTATCAATTAAAACAATTTCAATAACTTTTTTTTCTTAGTTTAAAAAAAACATTGCCCTTACTTTAGAATAACATTAGCCTGCGTTGTAAAGCTGTTTTACAAACCTAAATTTCACGCGGACAAACACCCAGATGCGGAACAACTGTCCGTGGGTCACACAAACAGTTGTCCCGTGTGGGAATCGAACCCACGACCCGCGACGCCGAAGCCAATACCTTGGCAACTGCGCCACGGAGTCATCACTTTGAGAATGTCTAGTCGAGTCGCAATGAAACAGATAGGAAAAAAACTTTGCAGCCTCTCGAACGGAGATTGCACAGAACCAACGGAGAAAAAAAAACTCGTCCACTGGCAGCGGGCCAGTTATATCCAATATTTGCAATACACAAGACATCGAGTCTTATACGAAAGTACCAGTATAAGAAACTCCGAATTGCAATATTGGGAAACTCTTCAATGGTGGAATTTTGCTGCTGATGAATGGAGTGCCACACCTGAGGAACTGCGACCGCCTGTTTTTGTTGAAACTTTTCAACTGACTTCAAAAAAGAGGACCTTTGGGGAATATATTTAATATAATATTTAATATTCACTTAACCCTTCTTTTTTTTTCCTTACAAAAAAAAGAAGGGTTAAGTGAATATTATGAAAATTTTTTACTTCCAAATTATGCTGTTTTTAGATTCCTAAACGTTAACAATATTTAAATATTGAGTAATATACTCTGTACGCAACAATGTTTGTTACTTCGGAACTCCACATGTAAGAAAAGATTTAAAAATTCTTTTCACATCGCGTTCCGTCTAACCCACAAAGAAACTCCACATATGAAACAAAAAATGTACTGTGTGTGATATATTTGAAGTCGCTTGTGTAAAATTGGCAGCTGCTAGAAACACCTGCTATTTAGCGTTATTACCCGATCGATTTTCCTACCATAATTTTCGTATTCACAAGCCGCGGCTTGGCATTTTGCTTTGTCTATACAGATAAATAAAGTTGGAGTGTCTGTTTGTAATATTAAAATAACCGCTTTTTACTAAATGCATATGGATGTACATACAGGGTATGGATAAAAAAATAACATTTTTTAAAATTTTTGTCTATCTGTCTGTTTGTTCCGGCTAATCTCTGAAACGGCATGACCGATTTGGACGGGACTTTCACTGGCAGATAGCTGATGTAGTAAGGAGTAACTTAGGCTACTTTTATTTTAGATTCCACGCGGACGAAGTCGCGGGCACAGCCGGAACAAACAGACAGACAGACAAAAATTGTAAAAAAATGTTATTTTGGTACAAATACCGTGTATACATACATTATGCATTTAGTAAAAAGCGGATATTTTAATATTACAAACAGACACTCCAATTTTATTTATCTGTATAGATAGGCTTAACTTAAGCTCTTATTGAAGTCAAAAAAAAATACCAACTAATCGAACCCACGACCCCAAGTGGCGAAGCAAATATTTTGGCAAATGCACCACGGAATCATTTCAAGTGTTTATGACTTTCGACGAGGCAATTTAAAATGAAACGTACTCTTTTTAACTTCGTTTATTGTACAAAGGGGAATCATTTAACGAAAAACACGCCATTCCATTCCATTGGTTCTCGCTATTACCCTTTGGCTGTGACTTTGGTTTAAAGTGATTCAGTTAAAGAAACCTACGGCGATTTAGAAATATTGTTTTCACGCGAATACTACATACAGTAAAATATTCCTCGGGATCCTGTAGTTTATAAATGACAATCCAACCACCGAAAAATGTTTCGCTATTGGTATAAATAGCTAATTGCACAGTTGACGGCCATCGGGGTTTCGGTACGCACCGCGACCTCGACGGCCCTTAGATGACACAACATAGTTAAACCCACAGCGGAGGGTCCAAACCCGTGGGTTCTGGCTAGCCCACCGGTTCTGCGTCCGATGAAGCTTTAATAGTCTCGGGAATGAAAGCAAAAACATCAGTTAATACAAGATACAAGAAGCTATTAGTATTATAATTTATTCTATTCGCATTTATATAGTAGTAGTAGTGTTCTTACAATGGTAGAGCCCGAGATATTTTAAACGCATTCAGCGTAGACACCATCGTAATGAACAATGAAATATCCAATGGGAGCCAATTAACAAAGATATAAGAAAGTACAACAACTATATATGATCATAAAAAACAGCATCCCTGGCTTTGCTGTTTTTATGTGAGAAGAAGGCAAGCGAGCTGTCGGTTCACCTGATATATAGGATAGGAGAAAATCGCCGCCCATGGACATTTGCAAACCCACAGGGTTCCAGATGCGTTGCCACCTTTTGATTAAGTGGGAGACGGCTACCTCAAGTTTCAACTTGTAATTTTCAATTACTAAGGCCATGTTTGTTATGATTCCAATAATCAAGTCGGAACATTAAAGTGAGCGTTTCAAAGATCCGCCTTCGGATGGATTTACGATCGACTCAGATGCTCCAGACGGTTAATGCTCAAAGCGTGGCAGTAAAGACATCGTATCAAGTATTTCTCACGTTTTGCTAACGATCGCAGAATATTTATGGCTTAATAGCGTATTGCGTTTGACGAAAGCACCGGCTGGGAGTGACGGCTTAAGCCATGGATTCAGTATGTTTTTGGGGTTCCGTATTTAAAGGGTAAAACGGGACCGTATTACTAAGACTCCGGCGTCTGTCTGGCTGTCACCAGGCTGTATCTCATGAACCGTGATAGCCGCTATGAGTAATAATAAAAAAACAAAATTAAAATTATTTAAGTGGGGCTCCCATACAACAGACATGATTTTTTTGCCATTTTGGTACAACAATGGTGCGGAAAACTTCTTTCGTGAAATGCAAATATCCATAATAGCTTATTGTCATGGCTTTCGCTTTCAATACAGATCTTCCACAATCCTTCCTTACAGAGGAACAAAATAAAGACATATATAGTCTTAACATGACTATATATAATACAACTCACCGTCATAGTGACGCTTTCTTTTATTTTGACATAAATAGTTTTATTAAGTCTAGTTTTAAGGTGACAAAAAATACTTGGTATTTGCCATTATATTATAAGAAAATAATTGCTACTTTAGTAGCATATAATATACAAAACCCAGTTGTACATTGTACAACTAAGAACATTTTACTTAGCAATAATTTTACAAAAAACAATGTTAGTTTAAACTAAACATTGAGACAACACCTAAGCCACTTAAATTAAATATTGTACACCAAAATATACAAGGCATAGGTGGCAAAGAACCTGAAATTGAGCTGTTTCTTAGAAGATTTAACATCCATGTCATCTGCTTCACAGAGACATGGTTACATAAGATTTTAAATGTTATAGATATAGAGAACTATAAATTGTGAAGTTCGTTCGTAAGAGCAAATGCTATTCGCGGTGGCTCTCTTGTGTTAGTAAGAACTGATATAGTCTGTAAAAATCGACAGGATATAGTAGCACACTCTGTCGAACGTTCTATAGAATTATACTGCGTTGAGAGTCAACAGTATATTATAGTATGCGTGTATCGACCCCCCTCAGGTGATTTCGATCTGTTTGAGTGTGTAATGGATGATGTACTTAAAAAACTCTGTTCAAGTAGTAAATCAGTAGTAGTTTGTGGAGATTTTAATGTGGATTTATTACAAGTGACATCTTAGTAAACGACTTTTAAATTTATTTAGTTCATTTAAACTTAATAATCTTTTTCATGAACCAACTCGTGTCACTAACTCATCCTCCACATGTATAGATAACGTTTTCTGCCACGATAATGTATATGATAAATATGTTATAAATTATCTGAGCTCTGACCACTTTGGTTTAAAATTTTCAATAAATGAAAAAGTTATTACAAGCAAACATAAGATCAAGTGTAGACCAGTTACTACTAATAGAATAAAATCTTTTAAAGACAAAGTGGCACATCATATGTTAAATAAAGATAAATCAATGGTTGACTTTCTCATATCTTCTTATAATGATATATTTAAATCGCGCACAATTGTTAAAAAATCAAAATTAAAATTTAGTGACTGGGTAACAGTGGGTATATATAAAAGTAGGGATTCACTGTATGAATTATATAATTAATAATGAATGCAAGGAATATATGAGGCAGTGGAAACATGACCCCAACTTTCATAAAAGGGTACAAATGTTCTCAAAAATATTTAAAAAAGTCTGTATTCAGGCAAAATCTATTCATATAAGAA